TTGGCTCTCCTGACATGAGGTCCCTGTGTTGGCTCTCCTGACATGAGGGTCCCTGTGTTGGCTCTCCTGACATGAGGTCCCTGTGTTGCCTCTCCTGACATGAGGTCCCTGTGTGGCTCTCCTGACATGAGGTCCCTGTGTTGGCTCTCCTGGACATGAGGTCTCTGTGTTGGCTCTCCTGACATGAGGTCTCTGTGTTGGCTCTCCTGACATGAGGTCTCTGTGTGTGGCTCTTCTGACATGAGGTCTCTGTGTTGCCTCTTCTGACATGAGGTCTCTGTGTGCCTCTCTTCTGACATGAGGTCTCTGTGTGCCTCTTCTGACATGAGGTCTCTGTGTGCCTCTTCTGACATGAGGTCTCTGTGTGGCTTCTCTTCTGACATGAGGTCTCTGTGTGCCTCTTCTGACATGAGGTCTCTGTGTGGCTCTCCTGACATGAGGTCCCTGTGCTTTTGCCTCTCCTGACATGAGGTCCCTGTGTTGCCTCTCCTGACATGAGGTCCCTGTGTTGACTTTCCTGACATGAGGTCTCTGTGTGGCTCTCCTGACATGATGTCCCTGTGTGGCTCTCCTGACATGAGGTCCCTGTGTTGCCTTTCCTGACATGAGGTCCCTGTGTTGGCTTTCCTGACATGAGCTCTCCTGACAATGAGGTCCCTGTGTGGCTCTCCTGACATGAGGTCCCTGTGTGGCTCTCCTGACATGAGGTCCCTGTGTGGCTCTCCTGACATGAGGTCCCTGTGTTGCTTGGCTCTCCTTGACATGAGGTCCCTGTGTGGCTCTCCTGACATGAGGTCCCCTGTGTTGGCTCTCCTGACATGAGGTCCCTGTGTGGCTCTCCTGACATGAGGTCCCTGTGTGGCTCTCCTGACATGAGGTCCCTGTGTGGCTCTCCTGACATGAGGTCCCTGTGTGGCTCTCCTGACTTGACGTCCCTGTGTTGGCTCTCCTGACATGAGGTCCCTGTGTGGCTCTCCTGACATGAGGTCCCTGTGTTGGCTCTCCTGACATGAGGTCCCTGTGTGGCTCTCCTGACATGAGGTCCCTGTGTTGGCTCTCCTGACATGAGGTCCCTGTGTTGGCTTTCCTGACATGAGCTCTCCTGACATGAGGTCCCTGTGTGGCTCTCCTGACATGAGGTCCCTGTGGTGGCTCTCCTGACATGAGGTCCCTGTGTGGCTCTCCTGACATGAGGTCCCTGTGTTGGCTCTCCTGACATGAGGTCCCTGTGTTTGGCTCTCCTGACATGAGGTCCCTGTGTTGGCTCTCCTGACATGAGGTCCCTGTGTTGGCTCTCCTGACATGAGGTCCTGGTCCCTGACGGGGTGATGGTGTGGCTCTCCTGACATGAGGTCCCTGTGTGGCTCTCCTGACATGAGACCCTGTGTGGCTCTCCTGACATGAGGTCCCTGTGTGGCTCTCCTGACTTGACGTCCCTGTGTTGGCTCTCCTGACATGAGGTCCCTGTGTGGCTCTCCTGACATGAGGTCCCTGTGTTGGCTCTCCTGACATGAGGTCCCTGTGTGGCTCTCCTGACATGAGGTCCCTGTGTTGGCTCTCCTGACATGAGGTCTCTGTGTGGCTCTCCTGACATGAGGTCTCTGTGTTGGCTCTCCTGACATGAGGTCCCTGTGTGGCTCTCCTGACTTGATGTCCCTGTGTTGGCTCTCCTGACATGAGGTCCCTGTGTGGCTCTCCTGACATGAGGTCCCTGTGTGGCTCTCCTGACATGAGGTCCCTGTGTGGCTCTCCTGACATGAGGTCCCTGTGTTGGCTCTTCTGACATGAGCTCTCCTGACATGAGGTCCCTGTGTGGCTCTCCTGACATGAGGTCCCTGTGTTGGCTCTCCTGACATGAGGTCCCTGTGTTGGCTCTCCTGACATGAGGTCCCTGTGTTGGCTCTCCTGACATGAGGTCCCTGTGTTGGCTCTCCTGACATGAGGTCCCTGTGTTGGCGTCCTTGTCCTCTCACCTTCCTATCTGGGCTTATCATTAACCAGGAAAGCTTTTACTCATTAGGTGATCATTCCACCTTCTGGATGTGCATGGCTGACCTCTGCGGACAAAAACATCACATTCCTTTCCTTAGCACTTCTAGATCTCTAACAGGGAATGTGCCGCCACGGCAACGAGTTTTTTCTAGATACATCTTTGTCTATATCAATGTGTGTGACGGCTTAGCAGTCCATTCACCCCGTGGTCTCTGGTGCGTTTGCACATGATTTTGTGGGTTAAAGCTTGCAACCCTTCAAATGTCCGATATGCACTATGTTGCCAAAAGTATTGGTCGGCCTTTCCACGCACATGACCTTTAATGGCCCCCCAGTCTTAGTCCGTAGGGTTCAATATTAGAGTTTGGCCCGCCCTTCCACGCACAATGACCATTAATGGCCCCCCAGTCGTAGTCCGTAGGGTTTCAATATTTGAGTTGGCTCCGCCCTTTGCAGCTATAACAGCTTCAACTCTTCTGGGAAGGCCGTCCACAAGGTTTAGGAGGGTGTCTATGGGAAGGTTGGACCATTCTTCCAGAAGCACATTTGTCAGGTCAGGCACTGATGTCGGGGGAGGAGGCCTGGCTCGCAGTCTCCGCTCTAATTCATCCCAAAGGTGTTCTATGGGGTTGAGGTCAGGACTCTGTGCAGGCCAGTCAAGTTCCTCCACCCCAAACTGGCTCCTCCATGTCTATGGACCTTGCTTTGTGCACTGGTGCGCAGTCATGTTGGACCAGGAAGGGGCCATCCCCATCTCTTCCCACAAAGTTGGGAGCATGAAATTGTCCAAAATGTCACCATTAAGAGCAGTTCCCTTCACTGGAACTAGGGGGGGCCAAGCCCAACCCCTGAATAACAACCCCACATGATAATCCCCCCTTTTACCAAACCGCTCTATATTCATCTGAATATACATCTTTTTTTAAATTGTATGTAACCAGTGTAAGTACCGGACTGTGACCTGATCTGAGCCCCTTCCAATCCCCTGTACAGCCGAGCTCAGACTTGGGAGGGGGAAGCAGCACAAGGAGCCATCCTGTTGTGTTGCATGCTGATAGGAGGATACAGTAAAGTGACCGAGAGATGAGCTCCTTAGTCTGCTGCTTGAACAATGCGCGGTAATATATTACCGTGGCTTGTGGTGCGATGTGGTTCACTCTCCGGTCAGCTGCACCAGGGCCCTCCGGGTTTGGGGCCCGCATATACTGAACATAACTGTGGTGAGTGCCGGGATCATTGTTACATAGACCCGGACACTACGTACTTCTATGGCAGGGATTTTCTGTGATGACCCGAGCATCCTGGTGTGTAATATGTGAGAAGTACGGGGCAGACAGGTCCTCTTTAAAGCGTATTTGAACCCAAGAACAAAAATATATTGCAGCTTAGTGGCCCTTAGATGTGGTGACTGCATTCGTTTTCTTTTTTCATTTTTCTTTTACTTGTTACCTTATATTTTCCATCTGGTGATCCTGCCATTGGTCCTGGAGTGACAACGCTCTTTGTGCTGCGTCTGTGGGGCAGCAGTGTTGTTGCCCCAAGAAAGGCCTACAGATCACCTCCCCCTCGCATCATCTCCACAACATGGGAAGGATACATCCTGTAGTCTGCAACTCCCTCCTCATAGGCATCCCTCTCCGCAGGCTGTCCCCTCCTTCAGTCTATCATGAATGCTGCTGCCAGGATCGTCCACCTTACTAATCGCTCAGTGTCCTCCACCCCTCTCTGCCAATCCCTCCACTGGCCTCCACTCAGTGCCCTCCACCCCTCTCTGCCAATCCCTCCACTGGCCTCCACTCAGTGCCCTCCACCCCTCTCTGCCAATCCCTCCACTGGCCTCCACTCAGTGCCCTCCCACCCCTCTCTGCCAATCCCTCCACTGGCCTCCACTCAGTGCCCTCCACCCCTCTCTGCCAATCCCTCCACTGCCTCCACACTCAGTGTCCTCCCCCCCCCTCTCTGCCAATCCCTCCACTGGCCTCCACTCAGTGCCCTCCACCCCCTCTCTGCCAATCCCTCCACTGGCCTCCACTCAGTGTGCCCTCCACCCCTCTCTGCCAATCCCTCCACTGGCCTCCACTCAGTGTCCTCCACACCCTCTCTGCCAATCCCTCCACTGGCCTCCACTCAGTGTCCTCCACTCCTCTCTGCCAATCCCTCCACTGGCCTCCACTCAATGTCTGCCCCCCCCCCCTCTCTCTGCCAAGCCCTCCACTGGCCTCCACTCAGTGTCCTCCACCCCTCTCTGCCAATCCCTCCACTGACCTCCATTCAGTGTCCTCCACCCCTCTCTGCCAATCCCTCCACTGGCCTCCACTCAATGTCTGCCCCCCCCCCTCTCTCTGCCAAGCCCTCCACTGGCCTCCACTCAGTGTCCTCCACCCCTCTCTGCCAATCCCTCCACTGACCTCCATTCAGTGTCCTCCACCCCTCTCTGCCAATCCCTCCACTGGCCTCCACTCAGTGCCCTCCACCCCTCTCTGCCAATCCCTCCACTGGCCTCCACTCAGTGTCCTCCACCCCTCTCTGCCAATCCCTCCACTGGCCTCCACTCAGTGTCCTCCACCCCTCTATGCCAATCCCTCCACTGGCCTCCACTCAGTGTCCTCCACCCCTCTATGCCAATCCCTCCACTGGCCTCCACTCAGTGTCCTCCACCCCTCTATGCCAATCCCTCCACTGGCCTCCATTCAGTGCCCTCCACCCCTCTCTGCCATTCAGTGTCCTCCATCCCTCCACTGGCCTCCACTCAGTGTCCTCCACTCCTCTCTGCCAATCCCTCCACTGGCCTCCACTCAATGTCTGCCCCCCCCCCCCTCTCTCTGCCAATCCCTCCACTGACCTCCATTCAGTGTCCTCCACCCCTCTCTGCCAATCCCTCCACTGGCCTCCACTCATGTCTCCCCCCCCCTCTCTCTGCCAATCAGTCTCTCCACTGGCCTCCACTCAGTGTCCCTCTACCCCTCTCTGCCAATCCCTCCACTGACCTCCATTCAGTGTCCTCCACCCCTCTCTGCCAATCCCTCCACTGACCTCCACTCAGTGTCCTCCAACCCCTCTCTGCCAATCCCTCCACTGACCTCCACTCAGTGTCCTCCACCCCTCTCTGCCAATCCCTCCACTGGCCCCCATTCAGTGTCCTCCACCCCTCTCTGCCAATCCCTCCACTGGCCTCCACTCAATGTCTGTCCTCCACCCCTCCACCAATCCCTCCACTGACCTCCACTCAGTGTCCTCCATCCCTCTCTCTGTCAAATCCCTCCACTGGCCTCCACTCAATGTCTGCTCCCCCCTCTGCCAATCCCTCCACTGACCTCCACTCAGTGTCCTCCACCCCTCTCTGCCAATCCCTCCACTGACCTCCATTCAGTGTCCTCCACCCCTCTCTGCCAATCCCTCCACTGGCCTCCACTCAGTGTGTCCTCTCCACTCCCTCCACTGGCCTCCTCTGCCAATCCCTCCACTGGCCTCCACTCATTGTCCTCCTCCCCCTCTCTCTGCCAATCCCTCCACTGACCTCCATTCAGTGTCCTCCACCCCTCTCTGCCAATCCCTCCACTGGCCTCCATTCAGTGTCCTCCACCCCTCTCTGCCAATCCCTCCACTGACCTCCACTCAGTGTCCTCCACCCCTCTCTGCCAATCCCTCCACTGACCTCCACTCAGTGTCCTCCACCCCCTCTCTGCCAATCCCTCCACTGACCTCCATTCAGTGTCCTCCACCCCTCTCTCTGCCAATCCCTCCACTGGCCTCCACTCAAGTGTCTGCCCCCCCCCCCCCGCCAATCCCTCCACTGACCTCCACTCAGTGTCCTCCATCCCTCTCTGCCAATCTCTCCACTGGGCCTCCACTCAATGTCTCCCCCCCTCCCTGCCAATCCCTCCACTGACCTCCACTCAGTGTCCTCCACCCCCTCTCTGCCAATCCCTCCACTGTCCTCCACTCAGTGCCCTCCACCCCTCTCTGCCAATCCCTCCACTGACCTCCACTCAGTGTCCTCCACCTCTCTGCCAATCCCTCCACTGACCTCTACTCAGTGTCCTCCACCCCTGTCTGCCAATCCCTGCACTGGCCCCCATTCAGTAACCTCCACCCCTCTCTGCCAATCCCTCCACTGGCCTCCACTCAATGTCTGCCCCCCCCCGCCGCCAATCCCTCCACTGACCTCCACTCAGTGTCCTCCATCCCTCTCTGCCAATCTCTCCACTGGCCTCCACTCAATGTCTGCCCCCCCCCCCTGCCAATCCCTCCACTGACCTCCACTCAGTGTCCTCCACCCCTCTCTGCCAATCCCTCCACTGACCTCCACTCAGTGTCCTCCACCCTCTCTGCCAATCCCTCCACTGGCCTCCACTCAGTGTCTTCCACCCCTCTCTGCCAATCCCTCCACTGACCTCCACTCAGTGTCCTCCACCCCTCTCTGCCAATCCCTGCACTGGCCCCCATTCAGTAACCTCCACCCCTCTCTGCCAATCCCTCCACTGGCCTCCACTCAATGTCTGCCCCCCTCCCCCCCCCCCCCCGCCAATCCCTCCACTGACCTCCACTCAGTGTCCTCCATCCCTCTCTGCCAATCTCTCCACTGGCCTCCACTCAATGTCTGCCCCCCCCCTGCCAATCCCTCCACTGACCTCCACTCAGTGTCCTCCACCCCTCTCTGCCAATCCCTCCACTGACCTCCACTCAGTGTCCTCACACCCTCTCTGCCAATCCCTCCACTGGCCTCCACTCAGTGTCCTCCACCCCTCTCTGCCAATCCCTCCACTGACCTCCACTCAGTGTCCTCCACCCCTCTCTGCCAATCCCTGCACTGGCCCCCATTCAGTAACCTCCACCCCTCTCTGCCAATCCCTCCACTGGCCTCCACTCAATGTCTGCCCCCGCCAATCCCTCCACTGACCTCCACTCAGTGTCCTCCATCCCTCTCTGCCAATCTCTCCACTGGCCTCCACTCAGTGTCCTCCACCCCTCTCTGCCAATCCCTCCACTGACCTCCACTCAGTGTCCTCCACCCTCTCTGCCAATCCCTCCACTGGCCTCCACTAAGTGTCCTCCACCCTCTCTGCCAATCCCTCCACTGGCTTCTGATTGACCAGCGAATTAAATTCAAACTTTGAACAACAAGCAAAGCCATCCACAACTCTGCCCCGAGGTACATCACCAACCTGGCCTCCAAATATCACCCAAACCGTCCTCTCCGCTCCTCTCAGGCTCCCTTGTCTCCTCCTCTGATGCTCGACTCCAGGACTTTGCCAAAGCCTCTCCCATCCTCTGGAACTCTCTACCTCAACCTGTCCGGCTATCCCCTACTCTGGCTTCCTTTAGGCGATCCCTGAAAACTCATCCCTTCAGGGAAGCCTATCGCGCCTCCGAATAGACATTTATCACTTCCATCAGTTCACCCCCCACAGATATAACCTTTTGTACCACTTGCCCCACCCCTGTTAGATTGTCAGCTCTTATGGTCAGGGCCCTCCTAATCTTTTGTTTTGATTGTATTGTCTCCCTTTAACCACTTCCCGTCCCGCCCTATAGGAGAAATACTGCTACAGGGTGGCGCGGTGCGCAAAATCACATATATATATACGTGATTTTACATTTCCGTGTGTGCCCTACCCGTGCCACCATTCGCGGGTGCACCTGTCAATCACTGGGCCCCGGCCCATACTTACTCACCGGTGCCCGGTGGTAACCGAGCATCTCTGGCGGGGAGGAGAATTGGTTTGTTTACTAACAGTTCTCCTCCCTGTCAGCTCGGGCACACTGCACAGCACAGCCATCCTGACCAGTGTGATTACAGTGAAGCACCCCCCCCCCGCCCCATAGTAAAACACTCCCAGCACACAGTTAACCCTTTGATCGTCCCTCATGTTAACCCCTTCTTGCCCAGTGACAGTACAGTGTCAGTGCTTTTTTAATAGTACTGATCACTGTATTGGTGTCACTGACATCCCCAGTGACACCAATACACTGATCAGTGCTAATAAAAAGCCCCGACACTGTACTAATGTCACTGAGCAGGAAGGGGTTAACATGAGTCAGTTCCCTCCCAGTGTCAAAATGCCCACCACAGTCCAGCAGTCCCGCTATAAGTCGCTGATCGCCGCCATTACTAGTAAAAATGAGAAAAAAAAATCCCAGTATCTATCCCGCCATTTGTAAACGCTCTAACTTTCACGTAAACCAATTAATTTACACATATTGGGATTTTTTTTCAGCAAAGACATGGAGCAGAATACATTTTGGCCTAAATTGATAACGAAATTTGATTTATAAAAATTTTTTTACTGGACATGTTGAATAGCAAAAAGTCAAAAATATTGTTTTTTTTTCTCAAAAAACAAGGCGATCAAATACCACCGAAAGAAAGCTCTATTCATGGGAAAAAAAAGGACGTAAATTTATTTTGGGGGCAGCGTTGCATGACCGCGCAATTGTCAGTTAAAGGAATGCAGTGCCGTAATGCAAAAAATGGTCTGGTTAGGAAGTGGGGGAATTCCTCTGGAGGGTGAGTGAGTAAATTGTAAAGCGCTGCGCATACTGTTGGCGCTATATAAGTCCTGTATAATAATAATAATAACTGGGAAAAGTGCTGATGACAGTCAGTAGATTCCCAAGAACTGCCCCTGTATAGCGGCCCCTTGGTGACGGCGCCCACCTCGGCACACCTCGCCTGGCCATGCTGGCTCTGTGATTTCGGGAGTCCAGTTGGAACACAGATTCCAATGTGCGCAGTCAGGGGGCGGAGCTCTGCGTTTCTGGCTCCGGACAATGGCTCCTGTGTTCTCTGGTACAAAGCAAAGTGACACTTAATCCTTGTATCAGGCGACCTTTGCTGGGAAGCGGCAGAACCTGCATGGCCCTAATAACATTCATCAGTGGCACCATCCGCTGCGCGCCCTCCTCTCCCCTATTGTCCATTGACTCGCCCCTTCAATTAAAGGGCCCCAGCAGGCCAGAAAGGAAAGAGGTGCCCTGAAGAAGTGATACTGATATACCCAACTGTATATATATGGAGGTCCCCACACCACACACTGGGCTGAATGAGCCTTCCAGGTGACAACTGGCAATTTCTGATATCGGGGATAACTGGACAGGAAATTGCCCGTGTGCTGGAAAATATCTAGGAAGGAAGGGAGATAAAAAGAGGAAAAAGAAAAGAAAAGGGGGAGGAAAGGAGAGGAAAAGAGGAGAGCAAAGAAGAGGAGAGGAGAGATGGGAGGAAAGCGGGGAGGAGAGAAGACAGGAGCGGAAAATGGAGAGGAGAGGAGAGCAGAGATGAGAGGAAAGAGGAGAGGAAAGAGGAAAGAGGAGAGGAAAGAGGAGAGGACTGTAGAGGAAAGAGAAGAGGAGTGGTGAGGAAAAAAGGAGAGGAAAGAGGAGAGAGGAGAGCAGAGGGGGAAGAGAGGAAAGAGCAGAGGGAAGAGGAGAGGAAATAGGGGAATAGAGGAATGAGAAGAGGAGAAGAGAGAGAAGAGGACAGAGGGGACGAAGGAGCAGAGAGGAGAGGAGAGCAAAGAGGAAAGGAAAGAGGAGAGGAGTGGAGAGGCAAAAAAAAGAGAGGAAAGGAAAGAGGAGAGGAGTGGAGAGGGAAAAAAAAAAAGAGAGGAAAGAGGAGAGCAGAGGAGAGGAGAGACGAGAGGAAAGAGGAGAGGATAGAGCAGAGGAGAGGAAAGAGGAGCACAAAATGGAGAGGAGAGATGAGAGCAAAGAAGAGAGGAAAGAGGAGAGGAAATAAGAGAGGAGAGGATTGAGAGGAGAAGAGAGAGGAGAGGAAAGAGGGCAGGAAAGAGGAGAGGAGATGGGAGAGGAGAGGAGAGGAAAGAGGAGTGGAGAAGTAAGAGGAGAGGAGAAGAAAGAGGAAAGAGGAGAGCAGAGGAGAGGAGAGAGAAGAGGAAAGAGGGTAGGAGAGGAGAGAGGAGCGGAAAATGGAGAGGAGAGATGAGAGGAAAGAGGAGAGGGAAGAGGAGAGGAAAGAGGGGAGGAGAAGAAAGAGGAGAGGAAAGGGGGGGGGGGAGAGAGGAGAGGAGGTGGGAGGAGGAGGAGGGATATGGGAGAGGAGAGGAGATGGGAGAAAGAGAGGAGAGGGAGAGGAGAGAAGAGGAGATGGGAGAGGAGAGAAGAAGATATGGGAGAGGAGAGGAGATGGGAGAGGAGAGGGAGAAGATATGGGAGAGGAGAGGAGATGGGAGAGGAGAGGGAGAAGATATGGGAGAGGAGAGAAAATGGGAGAGGGGAGGAGATGGGAGAGGAGAGGATATGGGAGAAGAGAGGAGATGGAAGAGGAGGGTAGAGGAGAGCAGATGGGAGAGGAAAGGAGAGGGAGAGGAGAAGATATGGGAGAGGAGATGGAAGAGGAGAGGAGATGGGAGAGGAGAGGGAGAGGATATGGGATAGGAGAGGAGATGGGAGAGGAGAGGAGTTGGGAGAAGAGAGGGGATAGGAGAGGAGATGGGAGAGGAGAGGAGATGGGAAAGGAGAGGTGATGGGAGAGGAGAGCAGAGGAGAGAAGATGTGAGAGGAGAGGGGAGGGAAGTTTGGTATGATGTAATATTCATATATTCTAGATTGGCCAGGCTGATAGTCACTTTCCCATACATAGAAAGCCTCTGAAGCAGGTGGGAGGGGCCGGTAGAACCGGTCAGGCAAGTCACCAGCCATGCCTGATCTACATTCCTTTCATGAATGGACTGATACCTATACAATCTAATATACATGATAAGGGACCTCATCCATTTGTAGGGATTGTTTGGTTTGAAGAAGTCCTCGGCCTCTGCGCCGCCATCTCACCCAGGATCAGTCCTTGGTGTTGGAGATATCAATACCAGTCAACAAGACCGGAGGATATACAGGCTACAAAGTAGCGGTCCTTGGTGTGAGGGAGGGGGACGCACACAGGGGGTGCTTTTGGGTTGTCTCATATCTATAAAATATTCCTTCCTCCTCAGGACCACTCATGGTTAGTACTCCTCTGACTTGGATATTTTGTGGCTGCATCTTCTACATCACCATTACTGTCTGTTACCAGGACTGAAAATAGAAATATACGTGATATCACCTCCAGTATATGATATAATGGGACTGTGTAGTGCAGTTTCTCAACTCCAGTCCTCATGGACCCCCAACAGGTCATGTTTTCAGGATTTCCCTCAGATGAAACAGCTGTGGTAATTACTAAGGCAGGGAAACTGATCAAATCACCTGTGCAAAATAATGGAAATCCTGAAAACATGACCTGTTGGGGGTCCATGAGGACTGGAGTTGAGAAACACTGGTGTAGTGGGATTGTGTAGTGGGACTGTGTAGTGGGACTGTGTTCATTCACCTTCATCCATGGTATGCCAACAGATGT